GCTCTCTGGAGTGCAGGTCCTGGCTATATACGGATACCGCATCCCAGAGCCAACCAAGGGGCAACAGACAGCTTCCACCCCAAAGGGCCTCTCCATCCTCGGCTGGCCTTTGTGGGTGTGGTCACGCAGTGCTCTCCCACATGTGATGATGTGCACCCACAGTGAGGTGCCAGGCAGCGAGGGGAAGTGACACTACTGTCCAGCTTGCCCCCAGGGACCTCATTCCTAAAGCAAAAGGCAGATGCATCCATGTCATAGATGACACCCTGGGGAGCTTCCCCTGGGAAGCAGTGTTCAAAGCTTACCCTCAGCCTTCCCTGGGACCTGAGGTTTTCAAGGACTGTTTGGGCCGCTGGAACAGCAGCCCAGCGGGGCCTGGAAGAGAGTCTGGCGGGGAAGGAAAAGGGTAATGAGCCCCATGTCTAGAAAGGGGGAAGGGGAGGGGGAGGGAGCACGGGCAGACTTTCTCAGCCTTGGGCTGCTAACAGAATGGTCTAGGCTGAAGCCAGGGTAAGCCGGGTGGCAGCACACAGAGCTTCCCCGCCAGGGAGACACTCACCCAGTCCGGAGCAACTGGCTTGCTGAGACCTCTCACCAAGGGTGACTTCTGCAGCTCTTTTGGCTCCCATTGAGTAAACAGTAGAGTGCTGGTATCAATAACGCTAGAGCCACTTGCGCCCTGGCTCAAGATGTGTTATGTAACATATCCACACATCTGTGCCTCGGCCTCCTCTCCCACCTGTGTGGAGCACGTATAGGCCAAGCGGTGATTAGCAGAGCTGAGGACAATGGCCCATTTCTGATGTGGATTTTCTTTTTAAAAGTAATAGAATTCAGAAAAGAGCAAAAGGTTTAAGCTTTCCAGCTACTGTAAAATGTAATTATGCATAATACCAGAAAACTAACAAATCAGAGGGGGCAGTTATTGTGATTATTATAACACTAGACGGGTTCATGTGACCCAGAGTAAACCCAATTCCAACAGAGGTGACTAGAACAGTGAGTGCAGTGAGAGCCCCCTGGGAAGTCAGGGTACCCAGGGCAGCATGCTCAACCTCAAGTCAGCGAGCAGACTGGGGTGTGGGTCTGCCAGTGCTCATCAAGCAAGCATGAAGCTTGGGTTCCATCCTTGGCACCTCCAAACAAAACAAACAACCCCCCACCCCCCCAACCAACCCACCAGCCAACCACACTGTCTGCTGCACCAGCAGAGCACACCAATGGGCAGGGGGTGGTGGCTGTCACACTGCTGGGCTGGAGAGCCATTACAAAGGCTACTTGGAAGCTGAAGGCAGACTGCCGTGTCCAGGGTCTGTAAGCAGCCTTGAAGTGTGTGCCACAAACAGGGTTATACACATGCAAGGACTGATCACAGCCCCTGTGCACAGCCCTCCAGACATCCAGGGCAGTGGAACAAGCTACCTGGACATACAGCACCAGTCAGTTTCATATTACTAACAATACAAAATACTTGGGGCTGGGCTCTCTATAAAAAGGTTTAATTCAGCTTTGGAAACCCATGGTCAAGGAGCAGACAAGAGGTCTGGTGAGGGGTGGTAGCCGATGTAAGAATAAATGGGGAAGGAGCAGGCACCACTTGCAAACAATAGGAAGCTAGAGAGCTGAGCGGAGTCAAGCTTGGGGCTTTTATAACCACCCTGAGAACTCAACAAGGTTCTAGGTTAATCCTTTCCAGGAGGCAAACCCCTACTCAGGCGGAGGAACCCACCATACAACAGGGGCACATGTCTACCAGCGTTACCACCCTGGGAAGTCTTGCAACATATGTAAAGACTACTGGGGTCCAGCCCCACTATAGTCTTTTCCCCGAGTTCCAGAAGAGATGCTACCATCGCCGGATTAATTAATCTGAGGGATACTTGAATAAATCTATGTACACGAAACTCTTTCGTCCATACACTTTTTTCTTGAGTCAGTTCTCTCTACACAGCTTCTATTCTGCTCTTGCCAGATTTCTCTCTACACTTTTCTGTTGTTCTCTTTAAGTTCTATCTTAATTCTCCCATCTAGTTCTTCCCCATCTCATTCTTTCTCATCTCATTTTCCCCCATCTTGTTCTATCTGGCTCTTCCTCATCTTCCATCTCATTCTTCTAGTTCCTCAATCTAGTCCTCCCAAGTCTGAGGTTTTCAGTTATATATCCATACAAAGCAGCAATTCTCTGACCAAGACAAGGTCACACAGGCTTGAACTCTTACGGGGTCCAAAGGAGGGGCGATAAGATCCACACAAAGAGCAGTAATTGTCAGCTATCATAGCAACCCAAAAGGGAAGTGGCTAATGGGGAATGAATCACCTAAAGGCCAAATTTGGTTACAGATCTGAAAAAGGGTATACGTGTGCTCAAACTATATT